AAAAAAAACGCCCGATTGAGAATTCAAATCGATATGGGAAAAAATAATTCAAAATTTAACAACTGGCAAACTCAATCCACCCATCCACACTCACCAACCGAGATCCACTTCTTTCTTCTTTTTTTTTATAAGTTTCAAGTCGATTTCTAAGTCGAATGAAAAAAAGCAACTATTCCTTCAATGCTACCAACCCAATCAATGAAGTTTGACAGCTACGTTGACGTAAGCGGTTCACTATCATAGACAAAACAGCTGTCCTACGTGTGTCAGTAATATGAGTGTCAGTGTCACGCCCTGTTCAAAAACAAACACTACAATGGCTATGGGTGTAGTAACATTCAGCCAAAGACTGATCGAAGTTGTTTATATAACATCACAACAAATCTGTCTTGTAATAATTGTTTTTTTTTATTACGGTGTGGTATTAATATCCACAACTATCTTATAATTTTCACTACATTCAAATGTGCTAAGACAAATAGATGTTCGGCGACATCATCAAGTCTATTGCCATACATTTTTCGCTAACTGAAAAACAACCACCTCCATAAACACATTATAAGATGTGATAGACTAAAAACTTAAAATATGGTTATAATATAAACATAAAAAAAAATAATGAAGCTACTGAAGATATAGCTGCATAACTTAAATCTCTTAGCTTTCTTTCGTTAATGAGAGTTAAAACTACTGTGTTATCTGTGGCTCGTTCACAATCATCACACAGTTTCTGTCACAGAGTACCTTATTATAACCGGAAATTCATAGATGATACCTGATTTTAAAAGTTACTATTGCGCATTAACTTTAAAAACAGGCAACTATATGTTAAATACCTGAATCTAATACAAATTTCGGTTCTTGGCTTGATTTCCCTAGTTTACTATGTAACTTATTTGTTTTTTATTATTTTAATACCTATGTACCTATTTGCAAACATAACCTCAAAATTATTCAATGTATATGTTCGTTTCTGCAGTAATTTATATATAATTTCGAATCTAGGAAACAATTTTTCAGGTTTATTGGTCTTTAGGCCAAATATGTATGGAAGCTGAGCAATCTTCTTTCAACTTAATCTTTTTAATAGATTCTGAGCAAATTGACTGTGACAGATAGACAACCGAGTGATCTTGTGAACCCTAAAAAATGCTTACTCATTACGGTAGAGGGATCTGTAAGTCTCAAGGTGTTGTAACAAGACAAACTGTCGCAGTTTCAGTACGGCACTAATTGTGTTTGCTTAGCTCCTGTTTGACCTGTTAACGAACACGTCGAACGTAGAGCTTTACCTAACAAATACTGTACGACATTTTGTATCTGTCTAGCACGTAACAAATTGAAATATCAAAGTTTAAAACAGTTTTGCTTTGATCGCGATGCAAATGGGGACTTGGTTACTTATCTTCTATATATATAAAACTCAAAGGTGACTGACTGACATAGTGATCTATCAACGCATAGCCCAAACCACTGAACGGATCGGGCTGAAATTTGGCATGCAGGTAGATGTTATGACGTAGGCATCTGCAAAGAAAGGATTTTGAACAATTCTACCCCCAAGGGGATAAAATAGGGAATGAAAGTTGTATGAAACTTTGTCAATTTTAAACTGATCGGGCTGAGACCTTGCATGCAGGTATAAGAAGAATCATCAATGGATGTCATTGTTTATAATACAAGCCTGAGAACAAAAACTGTAGTCTACACTTCAGCTCTACACCGAAGCGAAGCGAGGGCGGGCCGCTAGTTTCTTATATAGTTTCAGATACTTATATCGGCCCATCTAGCATTTTAAGTTTTGACCTATATGATTTTGACGGTCTCTAGCTAAAAATAAATGTAACATTGAGAAAAAGTTTATACGCAGTTTTAAAGTTACACCATATTTTTCGTGTTTTTTAAAAATATATTATTGTATATTAACTTAACTTTAGTATATCTTTGCTACAGTTCCATGAAACTTATAACACTTAGTGGGCCGATAGATGTGTCTGGAGGTGTATTTTCACGCACACAACTTCAGGTGAACCTGAAGAGATATTAAAATAATTCGCTTCAGATATTTTACAAAACTAGAAAAACATTCAATATTATTCAGAAGAGCATTCACATGCTAGACCGTAAATATCAAACAACAGCTCTCAGAAAAAAAATAACAACCAACGAATAAAAAGAAGCGAACTTACAAAAGATACGTAATGTGGTACGACGTAAAACTTCATAACAATAAACTATTTTGAGATCTATTACTTTAAATCTATAGAAAATATAACTAGAAAAAATTCCACTCGGACCAGGAAGCAGACGGGACTCGAACCCGCACCCTTCGCAATCCGGGCGAATGCACTGACCAATTATGCTACCACGGCCCTGATGGCCGCGTTAAAAATTCTTCTAGCCATTCTTAAGCTGCTTGGCAGCGCCATCTCTTCGCATTTTAGGTAACCCTCAATGTCAAATGAATACTTTTACAAGTATTAAACATTTGAAAGAAGAGATAGCAATTATTAGCTGCCTGGTCCGCGTGGATTTTTTTTCTAGTTATATCATCTTTAGATTTAAACATGAAGCAGTTACATGCTTAAAAATAAAAAAAATATCTATTACTTTAGTTAGATATTTCAAAGCATCTCATCTTATTTAAAAAACACGTGAGAGTTATATAAATGGACGAAATGGCCAATGGGGCAATATCACCCTCATCATTATCAGCCTGTTAATGTCCCCACTGCTAGGGCATAGGCCTTCCCTATGGATGAAATAGGAAGATTGGACCATAATCCACCACGCGGGCCCAGTGCTGATTGGCAGGTGCTAACGACTGCAGATGAAGCCGGGATTAACGGCTAAACGTGCCTTCCGAAGCACGGAGGAACTCGAGATGGAAAATTTTTGGTCACCCATTCGATGATCTACCACTGCGAAAGTTGCTTAACTTCAACGATTGCAGCCGAACGCGCTAACCACCCGCGCCATCGAGCTCCTCAATATATGTTACCTCAATGACGAAAAAAAATATGCAATATTTCAAAAAGATATAAAAAATATTAAAAATATAAAAAAGCATAAATAAAATAAAATTTAATAAAGCGCTATATAAAAAAAAGGGGAAATATATAAAAATAAACATATTGATGCTTGCACAAAATAAAACATACAAAATATTTGCATTATATGACAATTTATGACGATGTAATAAATAATATATATTGTTATAATTTTTATTCTTTAAGCATGTAACTGCTTGATGTTTAAATGTAAAGAAAATATAACTAGAAAAAAATTTACGCGGACCAGGCAGCAGACGGGATTCGAACCCGCACCCTTCAATATACATTGTCTTGGGAGTTTATCGGATATAAAATCAGGAACCTGTTTGGAACACCAGCCTGAACGGTCGCGAACCACAGGCCATGTACTGGTTTTTATATCTGCTACTAGTGGCCCGCCCTTGCTTCGCTTCTGTGTAGAGTTGTAGTGTAGATTTAAATGACTCTTCATATAAGTAATTATAAAAAAACTGAAAAAGGGTATACCTATTTGCCTTTTCCAAACTTCTATTGACATCACGTCTCTCCACTAAACATTTGATATTTATGGCATGGCATTAAAGTTTAAATTGACTTTTAAGTATTATTACGAATCGTTTGTATGGAAGTGTAGAAAAGTGTTGTTTTTGGACATTTTCAGGCAATTTTTTTAATTTTTCTCTGCGTAAGAACTATCCACGTACTTCAAGGAATATTCTAAAAAAAACAATTATCGAAATCGGTTCAGCTGTTTTGCGTTTAGCAACACATTCAACGATTCATTTTTATATTATAGATAATCCTCATGCAAACAGGTCACAAACAATTTGAGATTCGATAATTATTCGCCATAAGGAAAATAAATAGCTGAGACCGCCCAAATAGCAACATACCAGCGGCAGCAGTCTTTCGGAGCTTCTTATTCTTCGAGAGTTATAAGTATGAAAAGGAGTTTTGAATACCAGTACTTTTATAACAAACACAACGTAGAGTTCTATTTATATTCTTGATACATAGGAGTTACATACTTAGAGCCCTTTCAGATTTTTTGCAAAAAATCGTAATTTTTGAGCGCCTCATTTACCACCTTAGAAAAGATTTTGACTATTTCCAATAAAAGTATACAGTAGACTTATTATTCCTATTGTAAGTTAATGTAGAATATTTGCAAATACTATTTTCCTTTTTTTGAACTGATCGTTCTACCGCAGCTAGTTTACGGAAAAAACGATAATATGCACAACTTCAAACGCCTAAATCTCTTAATAATGTTCAATAAATTAGATCAAATTAATTACTACGACATTATAAATATGTTTTTGTTGTAATATAATCTATTTGAATTTTGATTTTCCATCTCATTAATTATCAAAAAAAACATCTAACCTCCGTGAGTTTCCCCAAAAAACAGTGCAGGAATTACTATCAAAAACTTTCATAAAACTAATCTACCATTATTGAACTACTAAAATATTTATATATTTTTATAATTAGTTCATTAATAATTATTTTATAAGACTCGAAAACTCACCCGTAAAATGCAATATTACTAGTGCAAATCTACCTACGCACCGATCAGTACGGCAGCGGCGCAATTTTGTTAAAGGGCTTTTAAAGTTAGATTATAATAAATCATCATTTGTATTGTTGATATTCGGTAAGCAATCTAGCCGTGCGACATAAATTATAATGATCGTGTGTATTGGGTCTTATTTGGTACTAACGTTTACATTTTTATGTATATTAAAACAAACACATCTCATTGTTGTAGAATAATCAGTAATTAAACAAATAAGTTCCCTATAACAGACTTACATTTTTTTTTATAAAAAGTCGGGGTCGACATACATATTTAGGTACTTACCTAATTTCATATCCCTGACGAGATTAGTAAAACATTACCGTCGCGAGAGACGCATAAATTATATTAACATCTTATTTCTATAATAAAAAAAAATAAACACTCACCAAATCAATGAGCTGGGACAGCCTTAGCCCAAGTTTCACCAGTACAGTATTGTTGTTTTTATCGACGGGTCGAATGAGTCTGTTGTAGTTACTCAATAAGTCATCGTAAAGTCTCTTCGCGTCGGGATTCGCGTAACACACGAAAAATACAGAACAAAACACTAATACAGTTCTTCTGAGCATCGTTCTAAATCTAATAATTCCTTTGCTCTATGGAAAGTGAAAACGCAACAAAGAGGTTATGTTTGCGATGAAAGAGTTTCCCGCCGTATCATGATGCGAACTTTTCTAGAGCAAGTGATATTTCACTTTTACTTTTTCAAATAAACTTTACCGAATCGTTGTAAACAAAAGTAGGTTTTCGAAAAAAGAATTTTGACAGATATACGCCCGAGGCTGCACCGATTGTGGCGCCCCTACCGATACTAGATGGAAATGAAATAAACGCCTCCACTGCGCCGACTCGTAATGAAAATAATGTTATTGTGTATGACTAATAAAATGGATCCTGTTAATGTTTGCTAATATTAACCGGCATTATTAATGCTGTTATGGGTATGGGATGGTAAGGTTGCAACACTTGCCAGTAACATATATGAAAAAAAAACATGGAAGCTTGAATTTGGAACGAAAACGTGAACTAATAAAACCTTTTTTAGTTCGCCACCAATTGTAAGAAAGTTGTTTTTTTTTATATTATCAAGATCTCTAAAAAGGTTTGCGATGAACTATCAGAAATGATGTTTGTTGTTGTCAAATATACATTATTTACGTGGCTGTATTCTTGGATCGATGCGCAGTACGCATGCGTGCTAGTCCATTCATGACCTTCTGGACGCGTGGTTAGTTACCCGCTTGTAACAATAGATGGCGTTAGTTGTTCAATGCTTTCAGAACAGTAGTGCCTTTTTTATAGAACAAAGTCGACTTCGGAATCCGCGGTAAAATTTAAAAATAAAACACTAAAATAGTAATTTTAAATCACGCTATGCGGTGAATAGTCAGTTTGTTTTGTATAAAATAGCGCTACAGTTGTTAAGTAAACGCATGGTTTATTAAATACAATTATTACCTTCATAATGTAGACAAAATTTTGGCATTGTGCAATTATTTGATCATTAAGCAGAGCTGAAACCCATACTATCCATATAATATTATAAATGCGACAGTGTCTGTCTGTTACCTCTTCTCCACTGAACTGATTTGGATGAAATTTTATAGAGATAGTTTTAGTCCTGGGAAAGGACATAAGATAGTTTTTTCCTAAAAATTACCCTGAAAAGGGGTGAAAAGGGAGTTACTGATTGGGGTGAATATTGATATCCGAGAATTGTAGGCCAATTCTCGGACTAGCTAGCGAGTACGTATACGTTAATTTTACACACTAATACTACTTGATTGTAAATATTTTGTTCATCAGAAAATAAGTCGGCCATCATGGGATCCCATAAATTTTAATAATAAAACAAACATTGCATAGAGCCTTCTTAGGAGCGGGTACCTTGTAAAGCCTCAAGAAGGTGAAACAACTTAAACTACTTGATAAAGTAAAAATACTTAAAAAGTATAATTCTACTTTTCCAGTATTTAAGTAAATAGAAAGAGATGCTAAAGGTTGCATTGTAGAGATTGTAGAGATGGTACAAAGAACATCAAAATTTATGTCCCTTCAGCGTTGTGAACAATAAAAATCTTCAAAAAATTTTGTTGTGTATGCGCCAAAATGTACTCAAATCTTCACGAAACATAGACAGATCGAAGCAGAGAAAAAACTGATTAAAATGATTATATGTCATTTTGCCTTTCCACTGTCGATATTTATAACAGACAAAGCAGAAAATGCAATTTCGTAAATAAAGAGACTAGATAATATTCTGTATATACTCGTATATAAATGGCAACCGTTACTGCCTTACTACCACTGAACGTACTGCACTGAAATTTGGCACACATGTAGCTATTACGATGTAGGAATGCGCTAAAAAAAGATTTTCAAAAACTCACTCCCTAAAGGGTTAAAACCAGGTTCGAAAGTTAACGCGGACGAAGTCGTGGGCATAGAATATTATAAATTCCTTTTTTTTACATGAAATAGGCTTACGCTTGACGACCACGCGCCTGATTTAGGCCCGTATTATAGAAAGATTCTCAGTAATTGATCTAGTCTTGAGCATAGTTAGAAAGGGATGTCGTTATATATAGCACATAGCGACAGGCCTTTCTAACTGTACTCAAGTAAAGATCAACACTTAGTTGTCATTCTGTAATACGGGCCGTAGAGTGACGTAGCAGCCTAAGGTGGGACGCGCTTGCCTAGAAGAAGAAGAGTTCCACAACCTAGCTGTTCTGAAGATATAGGTGGAAGCAAACCGTTTAGTACGAGTTAGCGGGACCTCTACGGTATATCTGTGGTATTTTGCGTTCTCTCTGGTAGTTACAATATATATAATTACAACTCTTTTTATCCATGTCGTGGACGTGGACGACAGTAAGAGGCCCGACGATATGGCACTCGTTCCTTGGAAGCTGGGATGGGCACTTGTGTGGGACGCAACCTGTGTTGACACTCTGCCCCCGTCTCATATTACCGGAACCTCCATGCGGGATGGCGCGGCTGCTTCGCAGAGGCGCTTAAGCGCCGCAATTATGATTGCCTCAGCGGAGACCTCATATTTGCGGCGTTTGGAGTCGAGACTTAGGGTCCCTGGGGCTCCAGTGCCCACCATATTTTCAAAGATATAGCTAAAAGATTGGTGGAGACCACTGGAGACCGCAGAGCTAACGACTATTTCGCCCAGCGCATAAGCCTTGCCATTCAGCGAGGAAATGCCGCTAGCATCCTGGGAATCTTTGCCGAAAGGGATGACTTAGGGCAGCTATTTTTTGTATCATAACATAGTTTTTAATTTTTGTCTAGTTTTTAGTTTAATATCTAAATGTGAGTATTTATTTGTCTATTCTAGTCTTAAAGTATTTTTCAAATAAATGATTATACTCCCTTTTATTCATCAAAATTAAATCATTGGAGGCCCGAAGGAGAGTGCACAATGCAATCGCTAAATGTCAATATTCTGCACCGTCGACTTTCATATATATTCGTATATATAAATTACTGGATATTGATCATGTGAATAACAGAGATTACAAACATATTGTTACGAATTGGATAAAAACGATAAATTATGAAGACACAGAGGTATTCCTCAAATTATCATCATCTTCATCATCAGCCTATTAATGTTCCCACTGCTGGGGCACAGGCTTTCCCTATGGATGGAATAGGGAGATTGGGCCATGACCCACGACGCGCTCCCAGTGCCGATTGCAGATACAGCCGGGACCAACAGCTCAACGTACCTCCCGAAGCACGGAGAAACTCGATATAGAAGATTTTTGGTCATCCATCCTATGACCGACCACTGCGAGTTTCTTAACTTCAACGATCGCAGCCAAACGCGCTTACCACCTGCGCCAAACCAAATGTACCAAATTGAAGCATATGTTTACAAAAATATCTATTTTTTACATTTAGATAGATAGATAGATAAAACTTTATTCACACCAACATACAAAATTGAAGACAAATTTTACAATTATATAAATCCTTTAAAACAAACAACAAATTATATTTATACAACTATACTGATATTTTCGTGTGCAGCAGCGATGCGAATGGGCGAAAACTCAGCGTAACATTTACTCCGAGAGTAAATCGCTGATTTTCAGTTCTGACCCATATAGATGAGGTCACGCAATTAAATGTCAGATTAAAATTCACAAAACAATAAACGAAATTAAAATTAAATTAAATACAAAAATTAATTAAACATTCATTGGACATATAATTGTCATGGTACTTTTACATAAACATAAAAACAAAGAAAACAAAATTGATAAATTGATCAGCGAGATAATATTCAAGAACCTACAAAGATAAAACATTGTTTCGTCCGTTTACCGGGTCCGTTTTACGTGTGATTTAACCGTTTCGCTCGTGTCGTTTTCTATAGCAACACCGGTAAGCTGTTAGTGAAAAAACTTACTATAAGTATACCGTACCCTCATTTGTGTTCCACGAAACTGTCGGAATTCACGTGAAAAACGGATGAAAGGCCAGCCACGTTTAAAAACAAATCATTTTGCTTTTCCACTAAACTAAAGGAAAGTGGGAAAGGCTTTCTTGACCCCTTTGAACATTTAAGGGGTCGCAGTATTATTTGAATACGTTGTTTCTACAATCGTCCTAAACCTAATCTGGCCATAAATACTGTTATATAAAATCTTTTCTTTTTTAAACTTTTTAATTTATTTTAAATTAGGAACATGTAAAAAACTTCTTTCGATTTTACGCCATTTCACATGTTGTGTCGTGTTTATTTACAAATTTCGATGTAGAAAAGGTGTTAAAGAATATAGGATTGCAGTGATCGCCTTGCACAAAGTGGGTATGGAGCCGTCGGTTGGTTTAGCCTTGTTAGTCGAAGACCACAACAGATCGACGTGGCCGCGTGCTGTTAGAACTACAAAGGCTGTTAATGCTGTTAAAGCCAGAATTCGTCGAAACCCCATTAGGAAGAGAAAAATCTTATCGCGAAAAATTAAGATTGCCGCTAGGACTCTGCCGCGTATTGTAAAACAAGACCTGAACCTCGGTGCTTATCGTCAATATACAGGACATGCCCTTAATGAATCTTTACAATTAAAGAGAGTGGATCAATCAAAACGCCTTCTGTCGCGATACGCAGATGAAGAACACATATATATCCGTTTTACCGATGAAAAAACTTTTCACGATTGAAGAACACTACAATAAGCAAAATGATAAAGTGTACACTCACAGTTCTAAAGAAGCTGCTCAAGTGGTCGGAAAGGTACAACGTGTTACATCCTGCGTCATTGATGGTTTTGGGGGGCGTGTCTTATGAAGGAGACAGAAAACTACATTTTTGTGAAAAAGGAGTGAAAACTTCTGCCAAAGTGTATCAAGATCTGTATCTGTATCTAAGACTGTTCTTAGATCATGTTGTGAAACCGTGCATCAAAAATATACCGTGGACTTTCCAGCAGGATTCTGCACCTGGTCACAAGGCACAAACTACCCAAGCCTGGCTTGAAATCAATGTTCCGAACTTTATAAGACCTGAAGACTGGCCCTCATATAGCCCTTTAGACTTCAAATTATGGTCAGTTTTAGAGGACATGATCTGCTCTAAACGA